ATCTGAACTCTCTCAACTTTCTGGTCTCGTAGAAACGACTAAAATTACGCATTACTAAATTATCAATATTTCCGTTTTTCTTTCTTTGCAATTTAGCATATTATATTTCTTTTTAGCGCTTTTTTTTCAAACTACTTTCTTTTCCTTATTTTTTTTAATATCGTTCCTTTTTCCTAATGCGCGTTCAGAACAAACGCATCAACAAATGAAGTATTACAACAACAGGAAGTCTACCGTGCTGTAACTGCGTTTTTCACGCAATGATCGCGTAATTCCTATAACACCTTTACGCTTTTCAATTTCGTTTTTCGATTTCACATTTCTGAGAGGATCATTTTCATTTTTATGATTCGCTCGAAAAAAATAAGTGCATAGTGTGATAATGATCACATAAATTATGCTTATACGAATTATCGGTCAAATAATTTTTAATCTCCAAAAATACGCGTTTGAAGATATTTTGAATATGAGATATTATGCTCTCAAAAAGACGAGATACGACGGATTCGTATGCTTCACTACTCTGAGAACAATCACGAAAAATGCGAACATTTGCACACAAGGAAAAACAGTGAATAACATTTATATTAAAATAGAAATAATTTTATGAATTTAACCCTTTCACTTTTACGAATTCAATGAACTATTAATAAATTTTCACTGAACTTTACTTTTATTGAAACAAAATTTTATTCAATTCAATTTATTTTTATCTGATGAATTTTTTTTATGAATTTTTACTATTCGAATAAAAAATCATAAATAATTGATGAATTTTAATAATCTATTAATGTTGTTATTATGTTTTTTAATAATTAACATTAGAAAGTGTATAGAAACAAACTTTGTACGAAATTTTTATAATAAAAATCAATATGTTAGTAATCTTAATCATTTTTAGCAAAAGGGTTAAATTGCATTAAAACAAAAAAAGACGATTTCTTTTATAATTACTTAATTGTTTAACAAGTAATTACAAAAGTTGACATATACGTATATATATAAAACAATAATATAACTATGAAAATAGTGTACGCAGATCTAAATAAATCTTGTAATTTTCGCGAAATTTTTAAACATAATACACAAATTATGAAATCAATTAATACATTAGCCATTACAGAAATTTTGTTATATAGTATTCTTTGCACTCACTTATTATCATCGATACAATTCTCATGATGCATTTTTTAATGGAATATTATATAAATTTAAACAAGATGTATAAGATTTGTTGATTCGAAGATCTCAGCACACATTAAGATCAATTGAAGGTACCGTTTTTTTTTTTTTTTTTTTTTTTT